GCCCCCGCCCTCACCCCCGGCGTTTCGCGCGCAGCTGGGTCCCGCCCCCGCCCTCGCCCCGAGCCTATCCCGCGCAGTCCTGCTATCGAGCCCCGCCCCGCCCATGCCTCTATCCTATCCCGCGCCGCGGTGCGTTGGCGCGCGGCTGTGACGACACGGGTCGCGGCTAGGCGCGCGGCTGAGCTGCGCAGCCCCGGGCCCGCGGCCATGCCCAAGCGGGGCTGTACCTTCGCGGACGCAGCCCCGCTGCAGCTGAAGGTCCGCGTTGGCCAGAGGGAGCTGAGCCGCGGCGTGTGCGCCGAGCGGTACTCGCGGGAGATCTTCGGTGAGTGCCGGGTGGGCTTCCCGCACGCGGGAGCCTGGGAGATGGTCTCCGCAGGCCGCGCCCCCCGGGAGCTGCGAGGCTGCGGGACCAGCAGTCCAGCGGGGCTTCGGGAGCGGTGAGCGGGGCATGAAGGGTCGCACGCTCACCCGCGCCGACCCCAGGCCGCAGGAGGCGTGCCTGCCCCTCCCTCCCTGCCTCCCCTAACGGGCGGCCTGCGGGCGGTGCTGCCTCGGGGCTCTGTCCTCCCGGGAGACCCCGGGTTGGGCCAGTAACTAACCCCGACCGGGTTAACCCCCGCGTCTCTCGGGCCCAGCAGGAGGTGGGGAGGTGCCCTGACCCGGGTGGGGTAAGCAGGCCTGAGTGCGCATCCTAACCCGAGAGCTGTCTGTGGAGCGCGCCGCCCCTGCCCTCGGCTGTGCGGGAGACCCCGCCTTTTGGGAGCTTCCCGGCCCAGTGTGGGGAGGACTCTCCGGAGGTGATTTGGGCGGGCACCGGTCGCTGCAGGACCAGCTGCAGAGGTGTCCGAGGGCTCGTGCGGGGTGGGTGGGAGCTAGGTAGGCGGAGAGGAAGGGGAAAGGAATTCCGGGCAGAGGGACACACGTGCAAAGGCCAGGAAGCAGGAGCGTGCTGGAATCCAGGTCCCGGTGAGGTGTGAGGGCGGCGAGCTGTAGGCCTTCTCATCTGGCTTCCTCGTGCATGGTTCTTGGTGCATTGACACGATGGCTCTTCAGTTTGGGGCGGTTAATACCCTGAGGCCGCTCCAACCTAGTGGTGGGGGCCCAGAGATTATACCCTTAGAGCAGTGAGGGTTTGCAACCAAGCGGAGCCGCTGTGCCTGAGGGATGTGGGGGAGAGCCCACCCGGGAGACACGGTTCCTGTCCTACCACCACCCCAGCCACCACCCTGCTGTCAGCAGTCGTTCTGCCTTTTCCTTCGCGCACACTCGGGTGGTGAACGAAACTGCTTTCTGAGGCCAAGTCAGTCTGGCTTGCCCTCTCCCTCGACCCCCCGGGGCCTTCCATAATTAAGGACCAGGCGCCCAGTTTGAATTCATGTGCGGCAAATTCCAGCCCAGACTGTCGCCCTAACCCCTTACCTTGAATGAACCACAAGCCTTGGAAAACCGGTCACCTCCTGACACTCCCCCTTTCCCCAGGATAAGGCGAGGCAGGGGCTGGAGGAGGAGGAGCTGGGTGTGGCAGGGGTCATCTGAGTTACCCGGCAATTGTCCTCCCATCAGTACCGCGTAGAGCCAACAGCTTCCAGCATCTCCACCCTGGCTCTGTTGGGACAAGGCAGAAAACCTCAGATAAGGCGTTTTGGGGGCTGGACGTGGGCGTCTGCTCTCGTGCAAGCCCCTGGGTAACCGATGTGCGGCCTGAGGCAAAGCCACTGCTGCGGACCTGAGCATCTACTTTGGCTCCGGGGGCGGGGTATCCAGGGCCCACGGAGATCTGGGAAGTCCTGGGGCGCCTGTGTCACAGCTGGTTGCTGCTCTGTTCTGCCGGCGGCTCCACAGTAGGTGGAGGGGGGCACACTGGCCAGGGCTGTGAATTAGTGACCTGAGGGGCAGGGCTTCCTCTGTGCCATATACCGCCGGCTCGCGGGGTGCTCGTGGGGTCTGGAGGGGAGAAACCGCGGTGATGCGAGGCCACACGTCAAGAGAGCCATGTGGAAGATCAGGAGAGGGAGCCTGGGTAGGGCTGCACGGTCCAGAACCTTCCTGGAGGAGGGGGCCCCGGAGCTCGGGTAAGGAAGGGCCAGCAGCGAGCAGCATGGGCTGGGGGCAACCGGACGACAGGACACAGAGGAGGCCTGGCCACAGCCAGCTCGGAGGACAGGGTGGCCGGGCCAGGGTTTCCACGCCACAGGGGTGTGGACGCTGGGACTGGTTTGTCTTCCCCAGAGAAAACCAAGCAGCTCCTTTTTCGAGGGGCCCAGGCCTATATGGAGCACTTGTGGGAGGAAGGCTGTGCCATCGTTGACCTGCCAGAGTCCCCGAAGCCTGGCCCTACAGAGGCCCTTGGGACCCCCCGTGGGCAGATGCTGATCGGACCGGATGGCCGACTGACCAGGAGCCGAGCCCAGGCCTCCGAAGCTGGTGAGTGAGGCCAGCAGCTGGCACTTCCGGCCCTGCGCGGAGGATGGATGTGGAGGTGTGTTGTCCTTCGTTCCTGATGCCGTCTGCCGGGGAGCTCTTCCGTTCCTGGGCAGGCGGGAGCTGGGGAGCCCAGAAGGCTCCTGATGTCAGGAGGCTCTGCCCTCCCCCAACCCCGACATCCAAGCCCTGGGTTTTGAAGCAGCCTCTGGCTGGGGGTCAGGAGAGGAGCGGAAACCCTCTTGGCGTCCTGCCTGCTTGCCATCTGGGCGGGAGCAGCTCAGACCACCGCCCTCGTTGTGGAGTAGATACCACAGTCCTTGCCCCCCCTTCGCCCCCAGGCCCGGAGCGCAGCCTTTGCTAAGCAGTGGTGCACGGGCCACGCTTTGGGACACCGGGACTAGGATCACGAGACGAAGGCCACAAGAGTTCTGATACGAGCCACCAGGGGGAGAACTGCTCCATCCCGCTCTGACTTGGAGATGGCAGAACGGACGGGGACGGGGTTGCGGAAGCCGGCCTCTTACGTGCCCCTGGGCTCCTGGGGTCTTCCGAGTGAACGAGGGTCTGTGGGCCGTGCTTTCTTGTAGGTGGTCAGGAGGACCCCTGGTAGGGGGCAGGTCAGGTGCAGGGAGTCAGGTCAGCCCTCTGTCCACGGGTCGGGGAGGCGGGGCCCCGCAGCCGCCGCGGGGCTGACGGCGGCGTCTCTTCCTCACAGACCCGTCCGGGGCAGCGACCAGGGCCTGCTCCTCGTGCGTGCGAGCCGTGGACGGGAAGGCGGCGTGTGGCCAGTGTGAGCGCGCCCTGTGTGGGCGGTGCGTGCGAATCTGCTGCAGCTGCGGGGCCGTGGCCTGCGCGCTGTGCGCCCTTGTGGAGTAAGTGACCGACTGCGGGGCCCGAGCAGGTGCCAGGTGCCGGAGCCTCCCGGTCCGGCTGGGGGGCGGGCAGTGGGAGGGGCCCCGCGTCGCCTTGCTTCTCGGGATGCCGTGGTGCCCACGGATGCTTCACCGCTCTCGCCTTTTTCTGAAGACTGGTCTTTTCTCGAGGAAATCCAGGTCACGTCGGCCGCCAGTCCCGCCCTCTGCTCTGGGTCTGCTGTCTCAGTCACTTCGTGATTTGATCTTTCGAGGTCTGGTGTCAGGACTGTCGACGTGGTTTTTCCCGGCAGGGTGCTCGCCGTTGGTGGAGGCAGGTGGGGGCAGGCGCAGGTCCGTTCGCGGGTCTGCGCGTGGCTGGTTGCAGGCTGCCGGAGCCCCAGCGGAGCGTTTGCTTCGTGCGCTACTTGAGCGTGCGTCTGCCTCAGCTCGCTGGATCCCGTGCGGGCTCGGGCAGCGCTGGGTCCCAGTCCCACCCCCGCGCCACTGTTGGCTGGCCGGGCAGGGGTGAACGGGGCCCTGTAAGAAAGACGAGGCCCCCGTGCAGACTCGGAGCCGGTTGTGTCGACCTCCAACCAGCTTAGTCCTGACAGTCTTTAGAACCAGCCACGGGAAGCAGACACCCAGCTCTGGTGGGCCCGCTGGCGAGCCCTGGCGAGCCCCGGAGAGCGGGGGCAGGGGTGCGGCCCGGAGTGAGGGTGGGGGACTGGGAGCTCTGTGCTGTCCAGTTTGGGCACATTGTGCACGTGGCGTGTCTTTGCTTTGTTTTTGCCGGTTTCTTCTCTTCGTATTCACGGGCAGACCGAGGGGGGCCGGGCCCTTCCGGTGTCCCCCCCGCTTACCTCCTCACCTGCGGGGGGGCTGAGCACAGAAGGGCAGGCGAGGGAGAGAGAGAGTTGCCGGGAGCCCTCCTCCCTGCAGCCCCGTGTGCAGGAACCTTCTTCCTGCCCGACAGCATCATCCTGGCCTTTACTTCCTGCTCTTCCCCCCCACCCCCACCCTGCCCCTTACCTACAGAAGTCACCTGTGATGGGGGCGGCCACAGGCCCATCTCTGAGCCCAAACGGGGTGGGTTCCTGCCCCATTGTACAAGTGACTTGCTCCGGGTCACAAGGCCAAAGCGGCATCCCCAGGTTTAGAAGCCAGGCCGTGGCCTCGTAGCCCCTCCCCTTCAGGTGCCCCCCCTCCCCTGCAGGTGCCCTGCTCCCCTGAAGGTGCCCCTCCCCCCAAGGTGGGTTCCGTGCCAAGGCTCTGCTCTCACTAAAATGCAGCCCAGTGGGCCACGCATGGCCACCTTGGGGCCTATGGCTCCTGGCTGGCCCGTGGGCCACAGGCTCACCACCCTCCCTGCCAGCAGCTGGGCAGCTCCGACTTCTTGCATCTCCGACGAAAACGGGTTTCCTTGGGCATTCTGTAACGTGCTGCCAATTCCTTGTCCTTTTGGCGTCTCTCCTGATGAATTTCCCCTGCGATTCGCTGGGCCACTGTGGTCCAGTAAACCCTGCCTGGAGACTGGGAGATGTCTGGGGTGGGGCGGGGGCCGCAGATGGGCAGTTCTCACGCCCCGTTGGCCGGAGGTCCGAGGTCGGGCGTCGGCGGGACTGCCTCTTCCGAGGCTCAGGAAGGGCCGGCTCCGGGCCCCCTCTGCCCCCCCCCCCACCCCGGTGGCTGTGGGCGCACTTCGGGGTTCCCCTGTGGCCTCACGTGGTCTTCCTCTGGGGATGCTGTGCGGGGTGAGGGACCTTGTGTT